TCAGTTTTTTCTGTTTCTTTTTTCTTTTTTTTTAACTGATATTTTATAACAAGTTTACTACATATTTTATCAGTTCTTTGTCAAGCTTAATGATAACAATTTTTTTTTTTTTAAAGTTGACGGGACTTTTTTTCAAATTGGACGAATAAGAAAATTTTGTTTGGTTTTAAACATTTTTTGAAAAATCATTTTCAGAATAAAATTTTTTTTATTTATATTATTTTTTTTTTGTTTTTTATTATTTTTTTATATTCTTATAAATCTTAAATATAATAATAAAATAAATATTTATAATATTATAAAAAACAAATATAAATATAATATTGTATATTCTTATGATTTATTGATTATTTTTTATTACTATTTTATATTTTTGTAATAATTCAATGGTGTGATTTATAAATCTTGTGAAATATATTTGTTTGTTCAATGAAATATATATTTTTGTTTCCTGTATATTTATATATATATATATATATATATATATATATATATATATATATATAGGCATATAAGAGTTTATTTGCACTAACTGTTCTTTTTGGCAATGAACGCAAGAGATAATTGACATTTTTATATTCGGGTTTGAATGAAGTAAACTGCAAACGAGAGAGGTTTACCCCATTAATTATTATCGGTATATCGTTTGATGTCTGACCTACATTTTGACATCGTTATACACTTGACGCCTTATTATTTCTTACAATTCGACATATGTTACATGATTGTTATTTGTTTTCTTCACTTTTGTGCGGTTTCATCTTCAAAAAATTTTTATTGAAAAATATATCATCAGTCGCAAGCAGTACCGTAAATCTTATTGAATTTTTTTCGTAATTATTATTATTATTATAATTATTATAAAAATGGGAAATAATTTAAAATTTTTGCGATAATTGCTTATAGGTTATGTAATTTAATTTCTTTTAGTTATACCAAAAAAAAAATGGTACTTTTTTTAAATAAAAGAATACACTCAAAAAAATTTGTTCTGAAACAACCAAATTTTGTTTAAAATCAAAATTTTTGGTTAATTAACCAAAATTTGAATTAATTAACTGTATTTTTTGTACACTGAGAAAAATGTTTAGTCAGATAAACAAATTTATTTCTTATCCGTTAAAATAACAGAGAAAAATGCATTTTAAAAACTATTTGGCTTTTAACGGACGTTAAATTAAAAAAATTTCCAACTTCCATAATTTTTATCAAATCAAAAAATAAAAAAAAACGTATTTTCTTATTTTTTACAAAAATTTCAAAAAAAAAAATGTACCGAGTCAAAAAAGAAATTTTTTTCAATGAAAATCTCACATGGAATATTCCATATGTAAAGCTTAAAAATGTTTTGTTCACACAACATTATTCACAAAGATATAATTCGAAATGTTATTATTCACTTAATTTTTTTTTCATGCATATCCTGTATATTTAAAAAAAAAGCAAAAGAAAAAAAAAATTTTAAATAAATTGATAATGTGAATATAAAAATGAAATGAAATCTTTATGTTTGGACATTGAAAAAAGTGTATTACATGTCTGTTATCAAAACAGAGAGAAATTTTAACAACAGAGAACAAGTAGATGTCCTCGTAGTCTTGACTGCTTTGCAGGTATACCTTCCATAAATTAACATAAATTTCTCTCAAACTATAGATATATATATATATATTTTATATATACATTTGTACGTGTGTAATACTTATCACTTATTAAAAATAAATTTTTTTCTCCAAGTCGCGTATGCATTTGTATATACATATATATATATATAAAATATCTTATCCGCGCATAATTTGCCAACTATATATAGATAATATTTTAGCGGCTCGCATCACGGATTATAAATTAAAAGCGATAGTAAAAACAAAAAGCCAAGAGTGAGTAAAATGAGTAATTGCACGATTAATTAAGAATTCTTTTTCATGTCCGAGGGGGAACCGCGACCCTCCTTTTCTCGCTCGAAAATAAAAAATATATAAATGTCTTCCAGCAGGTAAAAAAATACACGGAGAAAAAAGAATTGTCGTAGTTTCTAAAAATTAAGTCTACACAGCAATTCCGGATTGTCCATATAGAACCAGCAGTTCTATTTGTTTTTGGGACAAAAAAAATTTTTTAAATTGGATTGCTATTAAAACTATTCGAATTGTTCGGTGAGCAAACAGAATTGTTTGATGAACAATGAAAATTGTTATGGAACAGTTGAAATAACAAAACTAAATTGTTAAATCGGCAATAGAATTTGTTGTATTAACAAAGCTTTGATACGTCTAATAGAATTTGTTCAATTTCTTCGCCTTCTAAAATAATAATCTATAGCAGATTTCCGTAGGTCATAATACCAGTTTTATTTGCATTAAAATCTGTGGAACATGCAGCTTCTGTATCAAATTCTTTGACCTGAAACCAAAAAATTATTTTGATTTGAAATTTATTGTTAAATAATATTTAATATTAAAATAATAATAATTAATATAATAATAAAAGCAAAAGTGGCACATGTGCCAGAAGCAAATGACGCGACAATTTTCTCGCCAGTTTGCGAAAATTCAGGATGCCACATTTAGGGTCAGCCGGGGTAAATCCGAACGCTAATTATTTCAGCTTAATTAAAATTTTAAAAAATAAGTTAGACATGAGAATTTCTACCTCAGATCCTCTTCAAGAGATTCTAAGTATTATCCCATTTTTCGTTTGTTAATTAGCAACAGCATAAACAATGATAACGAGTATTGCAAAAAAGATTGAAAATCAAAGATGACACTCTTTCAGTATTTTGTCTCGTATTTGAAGAAAAGGAAGCTAAAAATTCATTTTATTATTTATAATTGTTTGTTATGAATACTAGAACAGAAACTATTTTTCATTTTTGCCTTCTGTAAAATTTTATTAATAATATCAGACCGTTCGTATTTACCCCGGAAAATTGGAAAACCGGGGTAAATCCGAACGGTATTTTCAATAATTTTTTCTTATATCAAAAATTGTTTTTATTTGATTACACTATTATTTTAACATTATAAAAGTACATAGAAAAAAGTTTTTCTTTCTATATGTATCCTCGTTAGTAATTAATAAGCAGAAACTTAATCTCTGTTCTCTCGAAGGAGTGTTCCACTTTTTTTGCCAAATGGTTTGTTGAAAAAAGTTTTTCAGGATCTTAATAAAATTTGGTATTCTAGGGTTTTTGGGGTCGCTGACTACCAATTTGAAGTCAGTTTTTCAAAATTCAAAATGGCGGATCCAATATGGCGGACGGGAATTAAAAAATTCATTGGATTCGCTCGAAAATTGTTACTCGGGGTGTTTCAGGGTCGCTGATTACGAATTTGGAGTTAGCAGATCATTTTTAAAAATAAGTTTTAGGAAAGTCCGCCATTTTGAATTTAAAAAATTTCACTTTTATTTTTGTATTTACATTCAATCACTCCAAAATACTTTCTGTACCAAGTTTTGCAAAAATCCGTTATGATTTGATAAAGTTATTGAAGGTTTTAATTGTGTAATGCATTTTAATTTTTAACCTGTTTGATTTTTGTATTTATATATGATGCATTATTACATAATAGGTTTATTATCGTATTTTTTTGAGTTTTTATATAAGTTTAACAATTGCAATACTTTAAATTTATTTTCCCTAAGATTTTTCTGAAATACAGTGCGGCGTTCGTATTTACCCCGGTATTTTAGGAAAGTTGCAAAATATCGAGGTAAATACGAACGCTAAGTTTCCTGCGATTGTAATTTATCAAAAATTTTTGCTACCCTATAAAATTGTTCTATGGAAGTAAAATAACAACTTCATGCACCAAAATACCGGAAGTATTGTATTTTAAAAGAAAAAACTTATGTTATTGTTGAAACTTACTAAAAGCGTTCGGATTTACCCCGGCTGACCATGTACTATTTTACAAGAAACTATTTTCTTTTTTTTTTTTTTTGAAAAAAAAATTTTACCTCTCTAAAGAATCGAACCCTGGATATTTGCATGGGGAATCGGTAGCTTTGTCCACTTGGCTATAGGCACACTAACCATGGAAAAGTTTCTTGTTGAATAAAAATAACAAATTTTGTTGAGAAAAAACGATTTAATTTTGATTAAAAAATTAAAATTCTATTTTACTGTACGAAATTTTTTTTAATAATTGAGCTTTAATAATAAAATTACTCATACACTTTTATTGGAAGTATTTTTAAAAATTATATATTAATTATTTTCTTTTTAGAGATATAAAAGTATTTTTTTTGCAGAAACACTGAGTCATTTGGACAAACATTTTGGATTGTAAAAACACATACATATATATATATATATATATATATATATATATATATATATATATATATATATATATATATATATATATATATATATATATATATATATATATATATATATATATATAAAGCACGTGTGCCAATAAAAATATATAAACATACTAAAAATTATTATAATACTCGATTATTTCAAAAATGAAATTAGCTTTTATCAGCTGATATTAATTTTCATAAAACACACGTTTCTTGCAATCAAATAAGCAATAAATTGCAACTTTACTAATCGTAATGACACGTAATATACACCGTTTCATTTTGAAATGCTCATTTCGCAAATTTTTTTTTCCCCCTTTTTTTCATTACTTTAATTTTTTTTTTTGTGCTTAATGACTTTTTAATGCATTACTACTTTTATTATACCTCACATGTGTGAGAGAAAGAGCCCGTGCAGAAATTTTGACCGGGCCCTGGCCAGGGCCAGACCGGGCAAGACCGGGGCCAGACCGGGAAATCTGGCCTGCCCCCGGCCTGGATGAAACAATAAAACCGACCGGGGCCATGGCTCGGGGCCCGATCTGGTTCCCTGCTGGGGACCCGACCGGGGCCATCAAATTTTTCCCGATTTGACTACCATTCAAATTTTTTTGGTATGGTAAACCATACAGTAGTCAGTATACTGTATTCCCTAATGTATCATTAATAAAATAAAAACAATAATATTAAGTTTATTTAAGTTTTATTTAAATTGCACAAAATATTATTAACTTATACTGTATATTAATGGTCAGTTTGTTTGTTTTTTTTCTTAAAACGACCATCCCAGTCTTTGGATGACTTTTACAAAAAAGTCGATTAATAAAACAAAACCATAAATTTATAATTTTTAAACGATTTGAAGAGTTTGAAAATTATTAACTAATTATCATTTTTTCTTCGATTACGATGACCATCCCAATCCTTGGCATTGCCAAATATAATGCCAAGGTGAGATAGTACTTCATCATCACTAATTTGAAATTTTTCTGTGGCAACCTCTGAAAATAAATTTATTAAAAATTACTTAAATTTACCTTGTAATATATTTGTTTATGCAATTTATTTCATAAAATTTAATATTTTACCCAATAAGCTCGAACACATTTTCATATTTTTGAAAATTGTTTTTCCAGGACTTGGTTTCGTCGCAGTCAATTTAAGTACAATGTCTCTACATAGATATTTTTTAATTATTGCATTTAAAACTTTTCTTACTCCAACATCTTTACTTAATGACAATTGTAACGTCGCCTTCTGTAATAAAAATATAAATATATATATAAATAAATAAACATTTCGATGTATAAAAAATGTCTTAAAAGGAAGCAAGCAAATTTAAATAATTTATACTTAAAGGATATAATAATATCATAGAACTAAAACTTACGGAGCACTAATACATAATAAATTTTTTACTTACAAAATGTTTATTACAATCCTCATTTGCAAGTTTTTGATTAAGAATTTCTACGTCGTCAAAAGTTTGCAGAGGCAAAATTAAGTTATATTCAGCCTCGAAACTTTTTTTGTCGGCCAAGTTTAAAATAGCAAGATTTTCTAACATTCCAATTAATAATTTTGTATTATCATGTACATCCTTAATGTCAATTCGTAATGATTTTATTTCTCGCATTACAGATGAAAAATCTAAGAAAATTGAAAAAATTTTATTGTTTCGAAATTGTGTAATATATGTAAGAAAATAGTCCTTTCAAAATTTATGCATACAATTTTTTATTCTTACTTTTTTCATATTTGCTTTCACGACTATTGTTTTTTTTATCACATATTTTTTCCTTTACGTTTTCAGTTGTTCTTCGTGGATTCCCTAAACTTTTCCTTTCTTCATACGCATTAAAATCCGTAAGACCAAAGTCTAGATCTGGCGAAACATCCTCATCGTCAGAAAATTCACGTATTGGATTCTCTAAACCATACTTATATTAGTTTATTCATAAATGGAAACTATTTTTATAATGCAAAAACTGTTAACAATTTTTATTTATAATATTTCCAAGTGTCAGAAGAATATATGGGGCATTCTATTTTAAAATTATACCTCTATTAAACAATTGACAATATAAGACAATTTTTAAATAATTATTTCTCCCATTCAATTAAATCGAATTACTTTTGCAATGAGTAGTTTCGATAGAGAAACTTCTAAACTTTATTATTGTACAAAAATTTTTTTAAAAAAATGTTTGTACAATAATAAAGTTTAGAAATTTCTCTTTCAAAATTACTCATTGTAAAAGTAATTCGATTTAATTGAATGGGGGAAATAATTATTTTAAAAATGTCTTGTATTGTCAATTGTTTACTAGGGGTACATAATTTTGAAATAAAATGCCCCATATAAAAAAGATTCTACCTTCTTTATTATCTAGAAAAAACTTTATCTCAGTAAAGAAAATTTTTTTTACCTTGAGTATTAAAATTCTTTTTCGCCTCCTTCTTATTTCTATTATTGAAAACAGAATCGCCATTATCTGAAGAACCGGAATCTACTATAATCTTGTCTAAAATAAAATAAATTATTGTCATTTTGATTTAAAAATTGTTATCAATATTATTTTTTAATTTCACTATAAAAAGAAGGCATCTTGTTTTAAGATATTTTGGTAGTCATTTTTATGTTGTTTCCAAAAGCTATTAATAGCATCTTAAAATGCATTAATTTCTAAGATTGAAAATAGATAAATAAGATGTCTTAATAGTTTTAAAAGTGAGTACAATGTATTCTATGGTGCTTGATTTTGCAGTATTGGCCCAAGTAAAAAAAAATTGTAAAATAAACCGATTTGACATTTTTAAGATTCTCAAAAAATTTAAATTAATAAAGAAAATATACTTACTTCGAGTACTAGAATTATTCTTTAACATCTCCCTTCTTCTTTTATTGGGAACTGAATCACTATTACTTGATGAATCAGAGTCTACTATCTTCTTGCCTAAAAACCATTTAAACTTTAAATAATTTTTTACATATTTTTCAATTTTGACCATCAAGAAAATAAATTATTGTCATTACGATTGAAAAATTGTTAACAATATTGATTTTTAATTTGTCCTCAGTTAAAAAAAATTGTGAAATAAAATGATTTTACATTTTTAAGATTCTCGAAAAATAGAAATTAATAAGAAAAATATACTTACGGTGAACACCAGAATTTTGTTTTTTTTTCTTCCTTTTTATACTATTTTGAGAATTGACTGCTGCTTTGTCTATAAAAATATCAAAATTTAATTTTATACATTATATAATTTGGATTTGAAAATTTATAAAAATACGTAAAACAAATAAAGGAATTAATTTCTCAAACGACGAATTTAACGATGTTATTAGTGAAAAATATAAATTTTAATATTCTCAATTGATTTCCAAAACCAATATACTAACCTGAAAAAGTCGTAGAGTTTCTCTGTTTTTTAAAATTTGATAAATTTGTTGATTTTTCTTTAGAAGTACTAGGCTGGGGCTCTCCAATAGTAGAAAGATTCATAATATTCTTTAAATCTGGCAAAGACTTCAACTGAAGTTTAATTTGACTAGTTGCTAATTTTGCCTTTTTCCCTGGGTCTACTTCCGATTCTGTATAGGCGAATTCCTTAATCTTGAGTTCGTTTAATCTCATGACAGCTTGTTCATATGTATCTGTTAAATAATATTTTATAAATCATACAATGTTTTTTTAATATATTTAAACAAATTAAATTTAAAAAGTAACAATTTTATGCAATTTATTTTTAAAAATACCGTATAATCTTTCCATTTTTATTTTAGATTTTTAGCAACTACTTAACAAAATTTTATTATATTAATGTATATATAATTATATATATTTATTATTATATATTTTTGACTCACCTGCATGACCAACAATTTTAACAACATAATTTGGCCAATTATTGTCAACTATATCTGAATTATTTTGTATTAAATCGTATAACAATTTATTTGTTTCCTCAGTGTAAGGAGGCGGCATATATTTTGTTAAAAACTGTTTTTTTTTGTCATCGTACTTAATCCATTTTAGTAACGTTATATCAACTGTTCGAGTTATCTCACTTTTGCCTGATGATGTAAAGTGGACTAATTGAAATGGTTTGCAGGTTAATATTAAATTCGCCATTGCTCTGTAAAAAAACTTTAGTTAGTTTTAATTTTTTAATAACTTTAAAATCATTTTTTATACACTGATAAGATATAAAAAATAATTAATAGGAAAGTAAACTTTTTCATTACGGGTTGAGTTCAAAACAAACGTCTGATTATGTTGATCGTCTCGAATGTTCTCGAACTCATGGATAACAACATTGAAAACTACAAGGAAATAACCGCTTTTCATGAATTATAAAAAAGTTAAATGGCGCGTATAATAGAAATGTTGGTTTCTGTTTTCATGTCATAACTTTTTTTTAAATATTTAAGCACTGCACTACATAGATTAATATTCCAAATTAAAGAAAACACTCTTATTTTTCTCATCTACGAGAAACACATAACCTATAAATTGTCACTTTTCAACTTTTAACTGTACAGATTTTATCCTTGATTTTATTTTGTTGACACTTTTTTGAGAAAAAATAACATTATATAAGTAATACTTACATTATACACTTATATATAATTACATCAAATACGTTAATAACACAATAATTATTGTGTACTATAAATGTTTCGTGTATTTAAAAATGTATATAGCACAGAGTTAGAACTATCGAATCGAATAACAGTGTTGCCACTTTTAAACACCAATGCAACAACATAAAGCGGGAAATTCAAAAACATCTCTTTTTATTTTCATATATTTTATTAGAAAAAGCAATAATAAAGCAGTGAAAATATATTTTATAAGTGTAAAACTTATTAAAATTTCACTTTTTATATAGTTATTTATTATTTTAGAAGAAGTCTGTTTCTTTGGATTTAGATATATATTATCACTTTAGGCCAGAAATCCAAATTCCGAGAAACTAACAAACGATTATAAAATATTCGATTTTTTAATCATGTTTTTATATATTTAATTTAATTGATAAGTTATTTAAGATTTTTTTAATTGCATAGATTAAAATTATTATATAAATACAAATTAATTTATTATTAATTATTAATAAATTAAATATAACATTATTTTCAAATTTTATAAAGCAATAATTTAAATAAATTTAATTTTCTAATCTATTTTTTTTTTACTTGTTTTATTTATTTATCATGTTATTTTTGTGAAGGTTATAAGTTCTCTTTCAAATATTAAATTAGTGTATATAATTTGAAAAAAATTGCAGTACATCGGATTTTTAAATCAATTTTTGCAATATAAGCGTAAAACACGTTATTACTGGTGTAAAAGAGGCATGCAGTAATGTTTTTTTGGTTCTCTCTCACTGAAATTTAATGATAATTTTACCATTTTCTGTTTGATGTCGTTTACATTAAATGTGGTTAAACGATTAGAAGGCTTGCTACGCAGTTCCCACATGTTTAACAATTTTGAATTGAGGGGATATGTAAATATTGGATTTTTAGTATCCCATATGTTACCTTCTATTCTTATTTCGCCTTCTGTTTTATATATTTTTCTAATACGAACAAGATTTCTATTTTTTAAAATTACAAAATTGTCTGGCATCTTTGTTGTTAGAGTACACTCTTTGTACTTTAATTTAAAAATTTCCAAATCATTGGATTTTAATATTTTAATTTTGACTGGTAACTGTGGTTTAGGTGGATTTATTGTTTTAATTTCGTGTAACCTGCGACAAATCTGTGATAAGGGTCGATTGGGTGTACGTATTAGTTTTGTCAATTTACCGAGATAATTTTCAAAGGGAAAGGCACTAATTTCGCTGAAGGTACAGCCCATTTTAATTACATCATCTACAGCATGTATTGCATGGTGCATATTGAGAACCTGTATTCGAAAATACAAATGTCGTGAACTCAAGAAAAATTTTTCTAAATAAGATTTCGCATAACTTTGATACATTCTACTTGAACTGTCGCTGCACAAAATTCTCGTTGCAGAATGAAGAAGTAAGAAGTTTTTATACCTATCACTATTTAACGCATGCATTATCACAATAGGACCGCAGTACAACAAAAAAAATCTAAATTCTGTTGCCTTCCATTTACAAAGGGACTTTAAGGATCTAGATTTTCTTTGGAATTCGCATGGTATACACCTGCGAATTAGAAGAAGTCTTCTAGATACTTCAGTCTTCCAATTTTGTCCAAGTTTTGCATAAGTGTTTATCACGAACCAATTAAGCAGAAGACGTTTCATGACTCCTTCGCAGAATAGGTGCATGAAATCCAGCACGAACATAGCAATCATATTCAACTGTGGTTTTACATTTAAAAGAGGAGATTTTCTTTTATGATGACCAGGCTGATTTTGTTTCCTGAAGGATTCATCCGTCCTTTCCTTACAGTTGATAATGGGAAATTGAGTGACTCCATTTTCTTTCAATCCCTGAGTTTCACACCTCTCGCAAGCGAAAATCCCCACATGTCCAACTGTTCCTTTTAAGAATGCTCGAGATGGTGTGTCGCAAATAAAACAATGAATGCGAATTTTAAATAGATTATTTGCAATCATTATTATTCTCGACTGTAAAATATTTATTTCTTCAATGAAATCTTTTAAAAATTCGCTTACATCTGCCGGTTTCGAATTACCCGAATAAATTAAAATTGGGAATGGTTTATAAACATCAGGTTTATAGTAAACCTTGCCAGATAGGACCCAAAACCCTTTTACGCCTGATTTTGATAAAGCGATACCATCAGCATTAATTTGCAAAAAAATTGTGGATTTGGTATGTACGTTTGGGTCTATGCATTCCTCAAGGCCATTTTTAATACCAAAATAAACATATTCACCCATACTTCCGTCTGAATCTGCCATTTCTTGAATTTCGTACTCTGCTGTTGAAGTACCTAAGAAGGTTTTCGCTGATTTTGGTAATTCGGGCAAGAGTCTACGCCGCAAAATTTTTAACATTTCATCAAGACTGTTTTGTTCAATTCCATTTTCAACAGCCCATAATTGTAATTCCTTTATTTCGTCAGGTTCATTTTCTTCAAAATTATCGATGGCGTCAATAAATTCATTCTCCTCAGATTCTGAAGATCCGTTAAAATCACCGTCATCTGCAATTATAATTGTTACATTATAGTTATGATTGAATTAATACATACAGAGAGATCACAGTTAGTCCCCTTATTTACTAAATCCTCTTTTCCTTTTTTCAGAGTAAAACCCACGTAAATTGTAATGTTTTTTGTTAGAAAAGTTTTTGTAGCTCTGTCAAAAAATTTTTTTTTAATTTTTGCAAACTTTAGGAAAATTTTAGTCTTTTAAAAGTTAATAGATGTTTTTATATTATTTTTTACACTTGTTAAATATAGACATTTTGTTATACATAGCAACAAATATTAAATAACTTACTGCTTAAAAGCAAAATTCCACACAGTCTAAATCTGAATTAGTGAAAATGTCACTAATTTCAATGCGCAGTGGATGAATTTTCTTTGATGAATCAGTGAAATTCAACTGAAGAATTAAATAAAACTCGTCCAGTGAATTGAAATCAATAAAATTTTTACTGATTTAGATTTAGAGTGTAGCTATTTGCAATATCGGTCAATTTTTACCATTCTCAGATTTTTATTTGAAAATTTTACTATTTCTGCACTTAATTATTTTATGAATATTTTTTTAATTTAATCGAACGTCGTACAATTTGTTATGAGTTGTGATTATTTCCAAAGTAAATTTTTCTAAAGAAATTTTATTGGTAAATAGTAAAAGTAATTCTGGAAATAATAATTTTTCATAGTACATTTTATTATTTTGAGAGGAAATTTTACTAAGTCCGAAATTAATCCGAAGCAAATTTTTTTAATTTTTACTTAAATTTAATGCGTTATATAAATAAATTTGAATATAGTAAAATTCATGGAATTTTAAATCTGGAATTTTAAATCAAAAATAGAATTTTAACAAAAATTTGTATTCAGAATTAAGAAATATAGGCTACAGAAGAAGATAATAATTAAATATTTAAATAATTAAATATTCAGCCCCTGAATTATAATAAAATAAATTTTTACTTAATTTGAAGAAATATCTCTTTCAAAAATTAATATCCCCCTTTTCACCTAATGTTAATCACTGTGATCTCGCGTTCATTACGTTGAAATTAATTTTTAAAAATATTTTAAGTTTACTTTATTATTAATAATATTTACTTTGGTCTTCAGATTCATTAATTTCGTAGTTTGAATCAATGTCGCCTGGTGTGAGACAATCTTCCATATGGGAACTAAGCGAATCATCTTGTTGTCCTAGCTGTGAGCTGATATTCTCATTAAGATTCGCATCTTCATGATTTGAATCATCTGAAGCTATAAGGCATAGAATTATATTTAACATACATGAAAATAGTTGTTATCATTATTATTATATAAGAAAGAAAGATCATTCTTATAAAACTAATTTCGATCGAGTGATAAATTCATACTTATACATATTATTATTATAACAAATGTGAAAGAATATATAAGAAGTCAGATGTAATAAAAGAATTTTTAACTTAAATTCGGGATTTTTTCAAAGGAATACTACTAGAACATTTGTAAAACTATAAAAATAAAAACAATATTTATAAAGTTAGAATACAAAATCTCTATTTTTAGGTTATTTTTTATTTGGTAATGTAATATCATGTGAATAATATTTTTTACTTACGACTTGATATATTCGGCAGAGATGAAAATTGGGTTGACAGTCGATGTTTCCGTACACGTTTCGTACTTTTGTGTTTTGGCATATTATTCACAGAAATAAATAATTAATGTATCCAAAGTAAAACAAAAGTTAGGCCAAGAAGACTAGAAATGGGAGGTACCGTACGAATACGTAAGAAAAAGGGTTTTCTGAAATAGGCAGAGCAATAGAATAAGTTGCAAGTCGCGGTAGCCTTCTGCGCAGACTAACTGTTGACTTACCATCTGGCGGTAATTCAGAATAAAATATTAACACTGATTCTATACGTACGTATATGCTTCGGTAAAATAAATATCTGCTTTTTTATTATCACCTGTTCGTAATATGCGCAGGAGGCTACTGCGTCTTGCAACTTATCCGCCCATTTCAGAAAACCAAATTGTCACGTACCCCCACTACCTAACGTGTACTTCCTGTTTCTATAGCCTTCTTGAGTTCTGCACTCCTCTATAAAAATTTATTTTTACTTATCTTATTATTGGGGCAACCCGGCCTGGCCACGACCGGGGCCACTAACATTTACTGACCCGGGGCCAGACCAGATAATCTGGCCGGGGCCAGGTCTGAAATCGGGAAGAAAGGTGGAAATTTCTGCACGGGAGGTTGCATTGTATATTAAAAATAACGGAAAAACATCTTTGAACGAGAAGGGATTATACACATATATATATATATATATATATGCAATC